GCCGTCTTTCACTACTCAGGTTAAACATGATATATAAGTCACTTAGATAACTTAAAAATGTTATTGTTTGGCTTTTTTTAGTATTTTATTTGTTCCTGAGTAAATCGGTTTGGCTGAGATTAAAGTTATAGTTTTACACAGCTGAATAAACGTCAAGCAGACAGCTGATCATCAGAAGTGTGAGATGCTGGAGAATATACTCCGGTGTCCTGTTATATTTTAGATAGCAAGGAGTTTATTAAACTTCACCGAAACAATCTGCAAACTTCATTAAAATTTAATAAACTATCATCTTGTCTTTATTTTTAGTTAGCACATACCTTAAAGACTTAAAGCTGTAAGCTAATGATAATTATATAAGAGCAGATGCTGCTGGTGCAATAAGCTGTACTATGTCCAGTGGATGATGATCTGATTAGTCGACTAATCGCAAAAAATAATCGGTGACAAATCGACTATCAAAATAATCGTTTGTGGCAGCCCTGATATCAATCACCTTGATCACCTGTTGAGAAAGAAAAAAGAGAAAAAAAGCAAAGAAAAAGACAGCAATATAATAAACAACTCAAGGTAAACGCAAGGATCGTATTTGTGGGTTGAGGATAAGCAGGTGACCATATGCCACATGGCTGAGAGTGGCTAGCCCGGCTTCGAATCTGTCCCGTGGCCCTTTGCCAAATGTCTTCCCCTTTCTCTCTCCTGTCCCTCTTCCCTGTACCCTTTCAAAATAAAACTGTATTTTTAAAAAAAAAACCAAAAACCAAAAAACAAAAAAAAACAAAAAAACCAAACAAAATAAAACTGTAAAATATATTTTAAAAAAGGGTAATCTTTGGTGATCATTCACTGAGTATGCTTGTTTTGTTCTTGTTGCTTTTTTGACAGCTACAAGAGTTTTTATTATAATAACAATGTAAGGCGTTTTGCCAGATATAACTGTCACAATGCATTAAAATTTGGGGGGGGGGGCACTAGCAAGAAAACTGTCAAGATTCAAGAGATTCAAGATTCAACGTGTCAAGTCAATGCTGCCACACAGGCCCATTGGGGCTGCTGTACACACCCAGTTAAAGTGTAAATGAAAAACTAAAGAGCCAAGGATGGGCTGCAAGAGGACAGTGGACAAATTTAGGTACAGTTGGGTTTTTTTACTCAACGTCTTTTACTCAGTGTTGCGTCTATTGTGTCCTGTAATTCCAATTTGACAAATACTGTGTACCAAAGAAAAGCCGTCTTCTGATGTTTTAATATGCTGTCACATGCTTGCAGATTGCAGTTGGTTGTACACTACAGGTAAATCTTTCACTAGAACAGAGCCCCATGAAATCTGTTTAACTCCCTGATTGAGGCTTTTGTGCCATTTTGGTGTTTGGAACAATGTGTTTGGCTGTCAAACACAACAAACACAAGTCGATGTTCACTTTAAATATTTTTTCTTTACTCTGCTATAGTGTCATGACACAGAAAAAAATAAAACATGAATGTGATAATGAAGCCCCCCCATTCCAAAAAACACACGAGGTACAGGTGCACATTTTGTACAAACCATTTGCCCTCTCTAACTCGGTATCGGCCAGCTAATGATTTTCAGATTTGATGAGCTCTTTGTGTAGTAAAAAACAAACTCAGGTAGAGGCAGGCACAGCTACAGCCTCCTGTGAAAATTGGGTTTGATGTTCACTCTCAAATGAAAATCTCTGACCAATTTTGCATGCAGTCAAATGTCGTCCGCTCCCGTCCACGCACGTTAACTGAGAGGTGGACAGAATGTAAAGCAGGCTGTGATTATTGATGTCTGTTGTCAAGCACATTCTGTGTCCAAAATGAGAAGTCTCACTCATTAATCATTAACAAAAATGCACAATGCCTCCAATAGAATGAAATGTGTAGTTCATTTGGCAACACACAATCCATGTTCCCATGATACTACAGCTTTTTTTCCCCCTCCAGTTTCGGTGTTTTTATCTCTAGTTTTGATTAGGCCATTTTGCATGCAGACAAATGATTTTCCTGCACTTTCAC